GTAGAAACTATCAATTTCTTCGTTAGATGCCGTGCTTTTGGTTACGTATAATTGAATGATGGATAAAGTTACTGGTATTGCACTGATTTGAATTGTAATCACTTGAATTGATTGAAATATTGAAAATTGATTTTGATATTCAAAATTTATCAATTGAGGGGAACAAATCAGTAATCTTAATAACCGTAGTGCAGTAGTCATAGCTATAGTCACACCAAATGTTGCTTGAAAATTAAGACTGTAAATTTACTTTAAATGTAATTACTTTAAACAGAGCTAAATTGAAAATTTTCCATATTTGGTATCAATTTTATGTGACTGCAACCAGGAGCGGACTGGGCTGGGTAGCTAGCTGGCGGTCGTCACCCGGGCCCCTTAGAACTTTGAAGAGGGGGCTCTTCATAAGTATAAATTTTAGAATTTATGCATAAATTTATGAGAAATGAGAAATGGCTTTCACATCTAATTTTTCTGGACCCAAATCAAATGAACAGTGGCAGTTGTAAGGGGGTCCAGGGGGGCCATGACCCCAGGACTCGCGCTTATGATAGCCAAAAGGGGCCCCACACCTCAAGAAAAAGATGGAAATTGTAAAGAACAAGGGCCCCGCAGATGTTTTTGGCCCCAGGCCCCGCAGTCCCTAAAACCGCCACTGCAAACGAAGAGCTCTTTACATTCATTGATCAAAATCGTCTCAGAGAAAAGTATGTCCCTCACTGACGATTTAAAAAGTAACAAGAAGAAAATTGTAAATTCTTATCTAAAAAATATGATTCGGAGGTTAAAATGTTCACTGCATTTTTGACCGGTCAAATAAAATGATAAATTCAATGATATAGAAGCGTCGAAAGCGTTAGATGTCTAGCTCACAGGGCACTGTGTGGCAAATTTGTTTACTTCCGCCATTTTGAATAATGACAAAAAGGAACTTGCTAAATACCCCGGCGGGCCCATTCAGTTTGTCCGATGTTTATCATGTGTGTTCCCGAGAGTGAAAATTCCTTAAATGTACCCTTTTCCCTGACTTTGCTAAAAAAATTAACATTTTTCAGTGAGAAAATTCATGCTAAAGCAAAAATATTTGAAACCAATTCATGTAAGAGCCAATTCAGTGGCGGACTGGCACAGGATTTTTAACCGTCCACGAAGAACTTAAGTTGGCCCAAGTGGGTGTGGTCTGAAAATAAGCTCATGGTAAAATGAACATTTCATTAAAATCGATCAATTTCTACGCAACATAACATCTGTAGCACTAATAGATATATCTAAATTATGTTATCATAGCCAAATCATAATAAGAGCGTTCCCTTGAATTTTTGGTAATCATCTGGTAATCATTCTTTGGGAACTGGATCGATCTCGTCTCTCCCGTGTAAACTAAATCTAAAGTTATGTGAAAAATACCGTAATTAAGTACAGGGGCGTAACTTGGCCAATAGGTTTGGGGGGGTGAAAAGAGTTTCTGCCCTGCAAAACTGAGTGGTGCCCTGCAGACCTCGTAGAAACGGTTTGTCTATAGGTTACTAGTGAAAGCTTTACCAGTGTACACTGGTCGTTACCAAGGACAAACTTCTAAGCAATAAAAACAAACTTGAAACTTCATTGCCTATGAAATATCTATTTCTCTACGTGAGCGTAAATTGTTTTTTTTTTATATTCACTTCATTTAATGTTGGCTTGCAAAATTAAGCCAACAAACAGCTAATTGCGGGGGGGGGGGTACATGATGTAGACAGCGCAACGAAATTTAGCCCAGTGGGGCTAAGAATCAAGTTTAGTGAGGTAGGAGGACCCACCATGGTTGGGTCCGACGTGAATAAAATTTTTGAAATTATACCTTGTAAAAGGGCTTAAAAGCATCTTTCAGACAAAAATTTAGCAAAATACTATTGTGCTAGAAGAACTGATTGTTTATTGAAAATATTATTGTTTATTGGGAAAAATAGGTAGGGGGATGTCATGCTAAAACTCTAGTGTTAGACGTTGGGGAAGGAAAGGAACGGCAACCTTTCGTTTCAGATTGCACGTAGTTGTAAATGACAGAGGAAGATGTTGTTTTGATTGGGGGAATTTTATTTCCTGAACAGAAATGTGCAGTTTCTTGTATCGAGAAGGCCATGTTTACACATCCAAAATTAAAACATTGCAATGATACAGAAAGTTATTTACTGAATTAATGCAAATAAAAGAAAAATAATAAAAATATACGTGAAAAAGTTTGCAATTAGATGAAACAAAATCGGTATCTTAACGATTAATTATGTTTTTTAGTTCCTGCACTGTTAAAAAGTCATAGAAAAAATGATAAAAAAATTCCTATCTTGACCAAAGTGTGGGCCTTCAGCCTCTTATTCCCCTCCAGTGACGCCGTGCTTGTCATGAAAATAATTTACAACTTAAATTAACTTGTATGGACTAAACCTTGCCCTCATAAACATATGCATCAATCATTGCATCCATTGGCTATGACTTTCGGTAAGAAATGCTTTCGCTTTGCAAATAACGGAGCTTTTCCTTACATACCTGTTCCGTTCTCTAAAATGCATAACGGAGCTTTTCCTTACATACCTGTTCCGTTCTTGGCGCCCTGCGAAATCTTCGATTGCCCTGCGAAATCGACTATTTTTTGGATTGGGGGGGTGTTACACCCCCCCCACACCCCCCCCGGTAGTTTCGCCCCTGATTAAGTACATATAATGTTTATTAAGCACGTATAAAGTAAGCACGTGTAAGTAAGCATGTATAACGTATTATAATGCCCAAATTAGTGTTAGGGCTTAATAGAGAGGGGGGCGAGAAGTGTTAAGTGTAAAGTGTAAGTGGAAAGTGTTAAGGCTTACAGTAGTCAAAACACAGAAAGTGAGATTTTCACTATATTTATGGTTTTCCTGTTTCTGTACTAACTTTATGGCACTTGATGTGCAGTGAAAAATAAGGTATTAAGGAACTTTTGGTACTACAATTTGATGATTTGAGGTCTACGAATAAGGAGCTTTTGGACCTAGGCCTTGAGGTAGGTTCCTTTTAGAAAAAGCGTGTTTATAGTGCAACTAAAGCTTACGACGGATTTATTAATACCAGGGTAATTTAGGGCCCGTTTTTGACAAGAAAGAATACAAATCTGGACAAAGAATGTAATTACCAACAATAATGCAAAATAATAACTTTGCGCCGTTAGATGCCTTATGTCAACTTTTTACGAATTTTTCGAAAGCTGAAAGGTCAGAAATAATGTTACTATCGAAAGCATGTCAATTACATCATACACTCTTTTTTTTATAAGAACAATTTTATAAGAACACGAGCCTCAAAATGGGTCAAAATTCAAGAACAAATTAAGAACAGGCTGAGGCTGAGCTACTGTAAAATGAAATTTTGAACAACGTTTTATCTCAAAAACGACGATTTTCAGCCATTTGTGGGTGCTTTTTCGGTGAATATTAAAACATGGCGGCAAATTAAGTTTGTCTCTACGCACTTTGTTGGCAAAAGAGGCCTGAACACCTCCCCAGAACGAAAAGCTAGAAATCGCACTGCTTATACCCTTTAAATTTAAGAACAAATTAAGAACAATCCAGTCTCAGGTTTTCGGAAAAATTAAGAACAATCAGCCTGAACTCAAATTTACTGGTTCTTATAAAAAAAAGAGTGTACTTGATAAGTAAAGAGAAAGTCTACCCATTCGCAAGTTATTCGTTTCAAAGTACAGAAAGACCTCTCGCTGCTGTAGTTTGTCATCATTAGAGACAGTATTTTTTAAAACATGTTTATCATATTTCAAGAGTCTCTTTTCTTAAGTAGAAATCACATTCGCCCTCTACCTTCGCACTTTTGATTTGCCATTGATTTCACTTGTTTGAGTTCAGTCAGTTTATTTCACAAATTATAGAAATCACCCCCAAAAATAAGAACCTACAGTGAATACCAGCCTGAGAAAGGTTCTTGTTTAGAGGGTACATTATAAATTCTTCTATAAGGTCTTCAAAACGGCTTTTACTGTAGTACAAATGAAGACGATTGAAGTTTGGCGACCCTCTTTTTTTGTTTCCTGGTAGGAAGAGGAAGTCAATCGATCTAACCTGGTTTATGTAATAATCGAAAGTTCGAAGATTATGCCATAGTATGAGTATGACTTCGTTCTTTGGATTTGATTTTCTGTCTTGGGGGTTGCCACCCGCAAAGCGAATGAATATTAAGTATGCAGCGGGCATGGCACCACAAGGGTATGTCTTATGTGTTATGGAAACAGTTAAGGGGAGATGACTTGAAAAGCAAAAGTCAAAGTTTTGGATTTTTATAAGACTTTCTGCTCTATAGAAGGTATTTACAGGTATTTACAGAGTGTTGATAATTGGATGGATAACATTTTTCAGAGACGGCCCCAAGAAATTGAACCTTGGGAGCTAAGAATCAAGTTTACTGTTGTAGAAGTTACGTTTTTCTAGCATCCCAGCAAAATTTAAGAGGAATTTTGCATCTACAACTGAGTTAGATCGCTAGAAAAACGTAAAAATCCGGCTGATTTTTGTCAATGGGGAAAAGCTATTTTTGATACACTGACCCTCGATTTTATTGAAAAGCTCAATTTCGCAAGTTTTTCAGAGGGCATATTTTTACTGGAAAACTCTAGGTTTTGAGTCGAAACGTGCAAATTCCTCTAGAATATCGAGTTGCCTTTCCAATAAATCTCGATTGAAGATCCTGTGGTGATTTTGCGAAAAGTTATTTTTGATACTTCGATACGCAGTTTTCGATTAATGTCGGAAAATTGTCAAATTTTACTAAGTCTTTACTAATACATCTTACGAAATTTTCAGTTTCCAAATGCTAAATTCCTCTTAAACAATCTTTAAATATGTTGTTAAAACAAAATAAACTTAATATCTCTTTTAAACTAAAAGTTATTGATGATACTTTGTACAGCGGTTTCCGTGCGAATCGTCAGAGCGAATCGTCAGAATCGTCAGGCCTATATAATTCAGTTTGTTCTTTATGTTGCCCGCGTCATCGTCGCTAAACTGCAGACTAGCTGTATGAATGCCTTGCCTTACGGATTTATCAAAAAGTTAGCCTGCATGCAGAATTAAATTAACCAGGCTAACAAAAAAGACTTTGGGAAAGTCTAATATATGTTTATTGTAAAACAATAAATTTACCTTGCTTGGCCACGGAATAGAATAAGACCATTTCTATTCTGTGTTTTGGCAACCTAACCGGGAATCCCCCCATTTCTACCTATACGGAAAACGGGAAACCCCTAAAAGTTGGTTATTCCCAGTGAAATAAGATAATATGCTTCGAGAAAGCAACGTTGGGGTTCAGTTTATAGAAGAGAATACACATCTTTTTCGCAGTTTTTGTTATGGCAGCAATGGTGGCAGGGAGTCCTGCTGGCTTAGGCCCACGTTTGCCGAAGAGCCCAAACATGTCTGGGAAATTCTTATGCACGCTATGCCGTACGGTTATGTTGCGAGTTTTTCAGTTGGGATGTGGGCACCTTGTTTGTAATGGCTGCAAGAACAGGTAAACTCAAGCGAAAAATCCGTATTTTTAAGACCTAAAAAGCTTTCAATCCAAGTCTGTTATCACATTACTTCTAATTTTCACAAGCAGAATAATTCAAAAAGTTTAAGGTACGTATGTTCAGTTATAATCTCTCAAATGTTAATCAAGATTTATGACAAATAACTGGAGACAAATAAACTGGATATCGTAGATAAAATTTATATGAACCCACATGCAGATGATTTTCAAGGTGTACACACTTGAAACTTTCTTACTTTCGATGGTATCAAATTATTGAACTCTCTCCCCATAGAATTAGAAAAGATGCATAACAAACATCATTTTGTTAAGCAGATGAAACATTTTCTCCTGGACAATTTTTAGAACTGTAATATTATTTGCCCTTAAGTTTTTTTCATGTGTCCATCAGCCTAAAATTTTAAATAATTTGATATATTCACATTGTAAGTAGCTATAGCTAATTTTATGCTAAAAAATATTTTGAGTTTGAGTTTGATATAAAAATAAACAACTGGAAATAAATAGGCTATAACTTATAAGGAATGCTACACAGTTAGTAACTCAAACGATAATTAATTTCCAGCCTTGAGGCAAAGAACTTGGTATGTTGCCCTGATGATTCCAACTGCCAAGCACAAGCAGCATCACATCCAGCAAAGGTTTGTTAAAACTTGGTCAGACCTTTTTGGTTGATTTGTTTTTGTAAACTGCTTTTTATTTGCCAACTTTGCTCTTTGAATAGGCTAAAGTGATGCTTTAGACAACATGATGGAACATGGCAATTTTAGAAAATACTGGGTCCAATGTTATCTTGGAGTTCATTTGTTTTTTACTTTCCAATCTCATATTGATTAATGATCTTGTTTGTTGAGATGTATATTATATAAACCAATTTTGTTTTTATTTACAATATTCTTTTTAAAACTGTATTATTAATATTGATTATTAAATTACGCAGATATTTGAAGATAAGTTCCAAACACGTGCAATACAAAGTTGTTTGATTCAGTGTGATTACAAGAAATTGGGTTGTACTTGGCAAGGAGAACTTATTAAATATTTGGTATGTTTTTCAGTCTTTGGTGCAATTGTATTAGCACGAAAAGGCTTAAACATGAAAAGTGCACATTATCAACAATATCTAGATCTGACATATTACATATATGGTTTTTTGTTTACTCTTTATTTCAATGACTTTCAGAAGGTGATGTTTCCATAACGAAACATGTTAACAAAGCTGCAGCAACCGTAAATCTACTATTGAAAACAAATACTGTATGTTAGGCTTCAAAGGAGCTACAATACAGCCAATACATGATGTTAACCCCTGTTTAAAGATATTTTCAAGTTAAATTTGAATTTGCTAAGTTTGTCAAGCACCTGCTTTTTTGCTCATTACAAGGCCTGAGATTGAAGGTACAACAAGTACTGAGCTTTAAGAATTTCTGATAACAGTGCTGACTCTTGCCCATGCTACCGTTTTGCCACTGCATTCAGGCATTTTGTTCCTTTTAGGAGTTAATCTAGAATTTCCAGTTTTGGAAAGGTTGATAGGGGTGGCAAAGTTCCAGAATTAAACATTTAATGTATTTTTAGGCTAGGCCCCAAGATTTAGATATTATATAGTTAAAGAAAATTCTTTGTGAGCACCATATACAAGTTTTCTTCAAATTATCAAGATTCCTTGTAGATCTGTCTGTCTTTTATTGTCATTTGTATTTATATGGTATTTCACTGTTCATAAATTCTAAATTTGTAGGACCATTACCAAGAATGCTCTTATAATACAGAAAGGTTTATCAAAGATGAGGCCTCTTCATCAATGCATCATAAGAAGCCACATTCATTAGATAAGGTACATTTAAGGTTTGGTTGAATATTTATATCGGTTTGCTTGTATTGGCCTCTTGTTTTTTCAAATAGCACAACTTGAAAGTTTAGTTAAGTCTTGGGATGGCATGCAATCTTTTAATTGGAGACCTTTGTGACTGTTTGAAAATGTTGCACAACTTATACTACCATAACTGGCCACTTCACTTTTATGTGAGATATATTTTGGATAATTTTAGCCAATTCTTTTGTTAGAATTTTAAATATGTTTGTATATTTTGGCAGTTTTAGCTAACAGTACATTGAAGTATTAAGAATATTCCAACTTGCAAAGTATTAACCTCAAATTTTTTTCTTTTATCAGCTGCCTAATGACATGGTGAAAATTACTGGAAACAGCACAATTGTCAATTGTGATAATTGCTCCTGGAAAGGACTGACAAATCAAGAGGTAGTCAGCTGTTAGCTTTACATGTTCTTTTAATGATGTCATCAGTTTAAATAGCTATTTCTATTCCTAATGGATCCTGGCTGGATCAAAATCTCATGTGAACAGAGATGTGCGCAGTTTATGCTTTGAATACTGAATTGCTAGAAGCTGCCTGGCCTTTTTAGATTTTTTTACTAAAAACATAGCAATCTAGAAGCACTTAATTGTGTTGTTTATTTTCATGATAAATGTGTTACCGTAAAGGAAAGTTGTTGTCAATTTTTCAAAGAAGCTTTGTTATTGGAGCTCCTAATTTTTTCTATGCAAGACAAGTACCTATAGGGTCAATGGAAATAGTTTATACTAAAATTATTGATTGGTGATATGTTTATAAGATTTACATTTGCAACAAAATCAATAAGAATTATGTATGATCAGATAAAAAAACATGTCACAATTTCTATGCTTTTTTGTTTTTTGGAAAACATTTTGGAATACTAACTGATGATTACTTACAGCTCAAAACTCATCTCAAGTTTGAATGCAAAGAAGCACTTGTGAGTTGTCCTTTCATTGAAGTTGGCTGTCCTCATAACCAGGTATGCAGCAATTCTTTACTAGTTTTGTTTCAGTTACCAATAATGTTATTTAGTATGTTACCAGTAACAGCAAAAGAATTACTCAAGTCAAACAGCCAATTGTATCTTTTTTCCAGTTGGCATATTTTCTAATAGTGATCATCATTTAACCATTTACCTTTTTGCTGCTTTACAAATCACATATTTGAAAGAATCTGACAAGTAAATGTTTAGCCCAATTATAGTCAAGCTTGTGTATATAAACTTTTTTGAACATTTAGAATTATATATATATTATTTGTTTCACAGAAGCAAAACCGAGAAGAGCTTGAAGATCATCTAAAAATTGGCCAAGAGCTTCATTTAGACTTGCTTTTGAAAGACTATGTGACACTTAGAGTTATGGCAAATGAATTTGGAAAACTTTTTGAAATCAAGAAAAGATGGGTAAGTCTTGAAGAAAATTATGACAGGATATTAAGTGAAATCATTTCAATGAACAGTAAAACAGATGCAAGGTTCTATGACCTTGAAGAAAAAGTTGCCAGAATTATAGACAAGGAGGCTAAAGAGAAGCAATCTAGGTGTTCCAGTAGGAGCCTTGATCTACTAGAATCAAGGCTAAATGATATGGAGGCAGTTTTAAGATGCTTTCAAGAAGACAGGCTTGAAGGGAGTCAACCAGGTAATTTCAAGGGGCATTTCGAAAGAATTGAATTGAAATGTAACAGGCAAGAGCAATTGCATTTGAAACTAGAAAAGCAGCTTGACTTCTTGAATGCCAGAATGGACAGCTTAGAACATCAAGTTAATGGTGGTGATATAACATCCTTTGATGGGGTTTTACTATGGAAAATAACAGATTTTACAAAGAAAAGACATGATGCAATTACAAAGAAAGCAACTTATATACTTAGCCCTGTCTTTTACAGTGGTCAAAGAGGATACAAAATGTGCATGCGAGCTTACCTCAATGGTGATGGTGTAGGTAAAGGCACCTATATGAGTGTCTTTTTTACTATCATGAAAGGCCCATACGATGCTGTGTTGCCATGGCCTTTTAAGCAAGCTGTTCGCATCACAGTTCTTGACCAGAATGGTGGAATGAACGTTGAAGAATCATTCCGACCAGATCCTAACAGCGTGTCATTTCAAAGGCCGACAAGAAACGTAAATATTGCCTCTGGATGCCCAAAATTTCTTCTTTTAGCATCTTTAGAGAGCCAAAGATTCGTTCAGGATGATTGTATGTTCTTGAAAGTGACAGTTGATGGTTTTTCACTTTGATATCGACATCAAGAGTGTAAATTGGAGGAGCCCAGGTGGGATGCCCAGGTGGGACGCCCAGGTGGGATGACCAGGTGGGACGTCCAGGTAGGACGCCCAGGTGGGATGACCAGGTGGGATGACCAGGTGGGACGTCCAGCCCCAGCCCCAGCCCCAGCCCCAGCCCCATTTAGTTTCTCAAGCTGTACCTGACAATACTTGAGTATTTTGTTGAAGGGATGCGGCAAAATTAAGAGCAGTAATTGAACAGGAAGGGAGAAAGTATAATTTTCCTTTGGCCAACTCCTTTTGGTATGGGATTGTTTTTTATGTTTGAGTGTATAAAAGCTAAGATTGTACAATTAAAACACTTATCTAATAACATTTAGCAAGTTTGTCTAAAAAGTATAATTGAACTAGCGTTTTATGCTATAACGTAGCTGTGTATCCAAGCTTTTTGACTAGGTAGGTCACGAAATGTTTTGTGTATTAGTGAAAAAATTGCCCAAACTATGCAGAAATTTTCTTTGAGAAATGTTTTAAATGTCTTTACACGAAATGTAACCAGTGCATTATGTCATCAGTGTGTATGAAACCCCTCCCCCCTTTTATGAATCAAGATTTGTCTTTTCCTAGAACTGTGTATGCCAAAAATTTGTTTGAAAAGTAGGAAATTTAACCAAAGTCGTTACGTGAAAAGTAGGAAAGTGGTAAGCTTAAAAACAAATGTACTTAAAAGCAGCTTCAGCAAGCCAGAATCTGAGAGATCTTTGCAAATCCATTTTCACCATCCCAAAAATCAGGTTTTTTCGGGTTATTTTTCAGCTCTTCATTTTATACTGGGTCCTTCAATTATACTGTTTTTTTGTTACGTTCAATCGTTGGTATTTCCATTATTTACCAATGAAAAGTGCAACTCTACCTAAAACCACCAAGTGTCGTTCCTGTTGATAAAGCTGCGTTGCATTTGTTTTACTGAAGCTGCTTTTTGATTAAATTTTCAGCTTATTCATGCCAATAATCTTTTGAAACGCTTTTTTTTATTAGCACTTTTAAATGTCAAATTAACAAAATATGGAGTATAAATGAATAAAATTTCGATTAAAAGCGTTGAGTATGGAAATTTGATAGGCAGAATATTTCGCACATAGTTACCGTACAGGGTAAACTTGTAACTTGTTTCAAGTTGTTTAAGTTGGACTTTGCATAATGTTTTTTCTATTTTTCTTGGTATTGTACTTCGTGCAGGGTAGAGCTGTTGATTAGTTGATAATTTTTCACAGCAAAGCAAACAGGAAGGTTGTAAGAGCTGTTTTTTCATTTGTTCCTTTGCTCTTTAAATACGCCTCGTTTCACTTGTGTTGAAACTTCGAGAAAATGCTGTTGAACATAAAAAAGGTGCTGCTCCAGTTACTTGGTAGCTTAGCATTTGATTTTGAAATTGCTCGGACAGCTAGCAAGTGTGGTCTGGTATGTCAATGATTTTTGAAGTCAATCTCGCCATTTCCAATCTTGAAAATGGCTTTGAAAAAAGCAAGCATTTCACAACATACTACTGAAAGCTTTTTCGTCCGACGTCAGAATAAGGGTCCGAAAGAACACGATGAAAAGTATATACCCAGCTGTGGATAGAAATAGGCCAATCAGACAAATAGACGCAAGCACATGACCGGCATGGTTGTCCAATCAGTGCTGCGTGCCTGAAGAAAAATTACCACTGGAGTCAAACAGAGAAAACGAACTCCTTCTGTCTACGCAATGGCGGCTTTTTCGTTGGTATGTAGATCGATTCCATTTGTGTTGAAAACAAAACAAGCTCATGCAAGATCCCCGGTGGTGCTGGCGCTCAGAATTGTCTGTAACGTGTTCTGTTGCAGGGGATCTTTTAACCTACAAACTTTTGGGGAAATTCTCTTTGCCCTTAAATTTCCCCACTAGTTGACTTATGATTCCCCATTAGCAAGTGCCCTTTTGTTGAAAATTATTTTAAAAACCAGTTTGACGTGTCTCCAATAAGTGCTTGTTATGTCATACTTCATAGTCGTTCATGCATGTGTCAAATTGTGTTTTACATCTTCCTTTCATCGTAAATGTAAATCTCCGACTCCGTTTGATTTTCTTGCACTACTATGGTGGCCCAGCATTCTCATTCAAAAAACAGAAACATATTTTATGAAATATGAAAAAATCACAGATATTTGTGGTAAATTTTACATTAAATTCAAATTATTTTCTTGAAGTTTAAAATAACATGTCAAAAGCAGAATAAACATAATAAAAAAATTAAAGAAACATTTCCATTTCCAAGTTTCAAATAGAATATTTTCTTTTTGTTTCTGAAAATCACATTGAAAGTTGTCAAAAGAAACAATTTCGTTTTCATTTTCAAAATGAAATGTCACGATCGGCCCAGCGTTCTCATAGACCACAATGCTTTGCAAGAATAAGCGCCTCATTTCCATGCAGCTTTTCGCGCCCTTTTTGCTTCGCCTTGCCACTTAACAGCGAAGAACGCATACCTCGTGGTAGCCTATTTAATTTGAATTAATCATGAAGAGGCATGATACTTGGGAAAAACTTAATAAGGTAATGAGTAACAAAAGAACAAAACAAAACGAGGCATCAAATAAAAATAAAAAACTCGGGTCTAGCCCACACGAGATTGTCGTCCAGAAGCTTTCTTCAAACCTATCGTCCGATTCAGCCATGCGAATTTGTATTTGATGAAATAACTCTACCTAACTTGAATAGTGCTTGTGCTGCTCATTTTGGCCTCCCTGTCAGTACGTGTGACGTGCCTGTCTCAAACAGGGGTCCCTTGTGCATAAATATTCAACAGATACGATACCAGATCGTAAAGATAATTTTTCTTCTTTTTTAATAAATCTAATATCAATTAGTTTGAGGTTTGCGGTTCAAGCTTGTTCACTTTACTTGGATTGGGTTCACTGTCGGGGCTTTATAAATTAAGTAAGGGTGTTAGAGTTGCAACAAAAGTTCAGGTTTTAAGTTAGGGGGCTTCAGCCCTCCAAGCCTTCCATAATTTCCGCCAGGATGCATTCTATCTAAAGTCTACGCCAGACATTGCACCAGAAGACCTCTGCACCTAGATGCAGGAAGTGCACTCGGGGTGGGGTAAGGTTCAGTTAGGTGCAGGCTGTGGGGTAGGATTAGGGCAAGGGTTAAGCTTGGGTAGTAAGGGTACTGGGTACCTATTCAGATCCAATAATAGTGGATCTAATTGCCTTCCCTCCAAAACTATTTAATTCTCAAACTCTACCCTAATTAGCCAAAAATAGAGAAACTTTGAGTAGTGAAAAATATCTTAATTTCTTATAAAAAAGAGTGTACACTCATATTTTTTATTTTTGACTGAAAAGTTCTTTAGAGCTTTGTAAAAAATGAGGACATGGTCCTCTATTTCGCCAGCCCTATGAATTCAATAACAAGTTAACCTCGCACCAATGACGTGAATGTTCCAACTTTACCCCTTCTTTTTTTCCCAATCGTTCTCCGTTGAACTAGTCCTTCATTGTCATCAAGGGTCATTACATCGTAAACGAGTCCTCTGGGATCATGAAGGCCATACTGCTCTCTGATTCTCTTGTGCATAGCACGGTAGCCTAATAACTGATCTGGACCATCTTTTTCTGCATTAAATGCCTCACCCACTTGATCTACAGTTGTATCGTAGTCGACAAATTTTATTCCAAAATTTTTCATGCGCCTTCTTAATGTACCAGGGCTCTAAGCGTACTGAGAAAAATTCCTTTTGCAGAAAGTCAAGAATTTCAGCTCTCCGAAGTTTCTGGCAACCATACAGCGAATAAATTTTTGGAGTTCGTTATCCTCTGTCCATTCGTTATTTCTTTTATTTTCTGCAGCCATATGGAGCAAAATCTCCCTTTCTTGGTTACCTAAGCCAAAGGTAATTTATTTAGAAAATCAAAAAGGGCGCGAAAAGCTGCATGGAAATGAGGCGCTTATTCTTGCAAAGCATTGTGGTCTATGAGAACCCTGGGCCGATCGTGACATTTCATTTTGAAAATGAAAACGAAATTGTTTCTTTTGACAACTTTCAATGTGATTTTCAGAAACAAAAAGTAAAAATTCTATTTGAAACTTGGAAATGGAAATGTTTCTTTAATTCTTTTATTATGTTTATTCTGCTTTTTGACATGTTATTTTAATCTTCAAGAAAATAATTCGAATTTAATGTAAAATTTACCACAATTATCTGTGATTTTTTTATACTTCATAGACTATGTTTCTGTTTTTTGAATGAGAATGTTGGGCCACCATACACTACACCAAAGCGAGGTAATGAAATTCGCGGGAAAATTGTGCGAGTAAGGACTGATGTGCTAGGCCTTGAAGCATACTCGTCCCTTTGCTTCTGTTTTACTGTCAGTTGTGTCATGTTAAAATGCCCTTTTGTGTCAATTCCCCACCAGTTAAATTTGAATAAGAATATATCTATTTTGTTTTTCTTATTGTTTGACTCAGAATTGGCTGAAGGGGTTAAATTCATTTGCGAAATCAACAATTTTCGAGCTATCAGACTAACTTTTCACAGAATATCAACAGAAGATGAAATGAGGATTTAGGTAACGGAAATCCCAATTCTAAACCGTGAACGGAATTTTAAAGAGAACGGATAGAAAATGGCCTCAAGCACCACGGAGCGTTGAAAAAAGTGGTGGATCTAAACAGTGGTGGAAATTATGGGGGTTTGGGCGGGCTCAGCCCCCCTCCCCCCCAATCAGCGATGTCGTCGGAAAATTCGGGCTTTTGTCGGATAATTGACAACCTTTTAACGGGTCGAAATTACTCCAAGAAATTGTTCTGAAAAGGAATTTTAAGCTAATCTTAGGAGCGTAATTACCAAATTTCTGCTCGCTTCGCTCGCAGCTGATCTACATTTTCCCTTTTTACCCCAGGACCCTCTATAACCTTTCTGTGCCTTTTTGCAAAATTTGAACAAAGCATAGCTGATAAAATATTAGCTAGTACTAAATAATCAATCAAATAATATATGACCAAAATACAAAAAACTGCTTGTGAATTATATATTTAATTTCAATTCCGTAAAGATTAGCCGAAATTTCCATCGGATTTTTTCTAATAAAAGTTATTTTCAAACGTATTTCTCACTGGTGAAAACAAGATAAAATGCATGAAATGAGCGTACGACTTTTCAAAAGTGTAATCGGTCAACCTCTTGTATCATCAATTGTCTTAGATGAGATATCGATCTTGATATAAAAAATAATTAATGGATTGTTCTTTTTGCTACTTAATTATGGTGTGGTCAGGAAAAATTTCTAAAGAGTCCCGTCAAAAATCAATTATTTTAATCAAATGAGCAGTGTCTTTAAAATGAGACATGATCCAAGATGTTATCTTGTCGGAAAATTGTAGGCCTGGGCCCTCCCAAATGAAAGCCTGAATTTCCGCTACTGGGTCTAAAAAGAACAGCTATAGTCGGGACAATATTTATTTCATCTTTACGTTCTCTTTTTATAGCCTTAGTTTTATATAATATTGTGAATTAGGTTAAGTTAGTAAATTTCTTTTGTTATTAGTATTAGTGCTTATCTTAATATTTTAAACAGGTCAGGTTGAAAGAACATATATATGTATGAACCTTTAACCTGTATAAATATAATAAAATGAATGAATGAATGAATTAATGTGCATTGGGTCACATGAAATGCCGATAATGATTGAGCACTCGACGATAATTTCATGACATTTAAAGCGGAATTGCGTCAAAACGTACAATCGTAATTAATCGAAAACTTGAAATTAAGATTCCTTGCATGTTCGAATGAATGATTTCTGATTTATTTCATTGCATATGCTACCCTACCCTGGGTGCGAAAGTCTTCATTATTTAGTCGGATGCTTTATCCATGGACTCATGAGGCTCTGTACCCTGTACCCAGGGTAGAGGCTCTGGTACCGAGGGTAATGATATCCGACAAGGACTGCAGAAGAACAGGAAAGGAGATGCAAGTTTTTTGGGCCGGGAAAATCAAGTTTTTAAGGGCACACCATTTTGATGCTGATTGTTTCTTGTTGTCTTCACTTATAATATATTGGAAATGAGCAGGGCCGTCGCGAGGCAAGCCTTATTGGGGGAGGGGGGTGTGGACTACAAATTTACCTGATTAAAAAATTTTTGCCTGAAAATCTTAAGTTGCTGCAATGTATTTTGTCAATCTAACTATGTATATGATTCGCAACTTTCATTTTGATTTGATAATAACGGAATTTTCCTAGTAGTTTTGTCAAATCTCTATATCGGAACGGGCAAAGGATATAGTTACTACCCGAGGCGGCACCATGGTTGCCGCCGAAGGAGGAGGAAATTTTCGAATTTTGATGCTTCCAGTTTCCTGGAAAATGCACTATTTTAAGCAAATTTCACTAAAGCAATCCTCCTACTCCTATTGAAAATAATTTTTTTTGCAAACAAATTGAACAGCAGATAAAAACAACTGGTACAATTTCGCCGTGGTCTTGAGAATTACCATGTTGTCAGTTACTTCTGAAGCTAGGTAACAAGCAGCACTGGTTGTCAATTTAGATCCCTCTTTCCATCTTAGCATGCCTTTTGAATGTTAAAAAAATCTGGAGCTCATAGTGAATTGCAGTTAACGCTTCTACCGAAAAACTTTAGGGGATATCTGGATTTTTCGGTTTAGTGCCAAGAAGAAATTTTTAAATATTCAAATCATTAGTTTGTTTACCTTCATTCATATCTAGGAATATCATATTTAACCAACGGAGCAACTACCATTGCTTGATCCTTAATTGATTTTATGACATGAAGATCTAAAATACCTTAAGCGTTTCTTCAACCAGGCGGATTTTACCTGGAATTTCCTATTGAGATACTATTAGGGGGGTGTGACACCCCCCACACCCCCCGGTCACGACGCCCCTGGAAATGAGTGTCGTGGAGGCAGTATGGGGCCTTTCTTCACTTGTTTTTCTCAAAAATCTGATATTAGCTAAAATTATAAAAACTTAAAAGAAAGAACAATCCAAAGAGCCTTCATGAAAAGTTTAATGGGCCTACCGGAAAAATACCCGAGTCCCGGTGGGCCACCACGCCCCTGTGTCCCACCCCTCAAGTTGCCCATTATAAGAAATTGAATGCCAATTTTATTATCAGTGAGATAAAGAAAACTAGAAGATAAATAGATTAAAATGTTGGTGTCATATGATAAAAATTGGCTTTTGCCGAATCTAAACAAAATGCACGGAATGATACAAAAATATTTGGGGGAGGGGGTGTCGCTCACTCCCCTCAACAACCCCGGTCAGTTCGTCCATGCTTAATAATGAAGTTAGTTTTCTTGTAAACCCTTGGAAAAGAGGGAGACTATCAAGATTATGAAATATAAACTAAGAAGTTAAAGTACAATTGATGTGCTAAAAGATTAAAAAATTCGCTACCATGCTAAACTCTAAGTAAAATTCTAAGTAAATAAAACTCATAGCTCGAAACAGCTCCCCCCTCCAAAGACTTTTTTTGAGATCAGTGATCCCCTTAAGCGTGCAGACTCGGAAATTTAAAAGAGGAGAGAAAATAGAGTCTGCACAACAGAGCCGCTTTTATTGTTCGCTGACATCAACATTTTATTCTAGGCACTAGAACAACGACAGAGTCTGCACGGAGGATACAAAGTCCCCTGTTGGCAGAGATATGAGAACGAGGACGTTAACTTACTTTCAGCGTGCACTCGAGGTTTTTTGAAATTTCATTTTAGTGATTTCTTGCCCTCACCACTTCAAGAGCAACCTCAGCTGGAAAAGTCCACGATATGACATTTTGATTGTACATGTGAATGTTATGGGTGCTGAATCAAGTATTTTGAGATCATATGTACTTGGAATACCATATGAAATCAGCCTAAACCAAGCTGGAAGTGCCCCTGACTCAGATGAGTCGAAGTTGCCCGCTGGTCGTAGTGGGGAAGGAAACAAGCATGACCTAAGTTTCATGGTTTACCCAGGAAGACACAAGGAAGACGGTTCAGGAATTAGTGTATTTGTCTATCAGAGGTCAAGAAATGCTACGAACTGCCTTGGATCAGCTTGTGCAGAGGTAAAATTATAGTAGCCTACTATACTATGTAGAAAACATTTTAAAAGTGAAGGGGCAGCATAAGCAAACTCTGCTCTACGAGTTGCTAATTTACACTATTTCTGTTTCTGAAAAACGATTGGGCGAGTCTATGATCGATTTCCCTGTTAAATTGATCGGTCTTGAGTCTGACTTTAAAACCGTATAAATCCAGATATTTTTTGTACGTGTTGTGTCATGTACATTTTCCAGAAGAGTCTAGACTCTTTTTTGATGTTGGGGGTACAAAAGACATAATTTTCTAGCTTCTGTCTCATCTACTTCTTCTGCTTCTAATTCTACATTACTAATTCGACTTCAATACTAAATGCTTACGATGATATAAAATGAATAAATAAGTAGTTAGATAATTAAATAAAAGTAAACAAGAAGATAAGAATAATGAATTGACGAAAATTTTTAATAAGTCTGGCAACAGAGCAGAAACATAGTAACAAAAAGTATCATTTTTTTGTGGTGTTAGTGAATATGTCGGGTGTGGTGTGCTTCTGTCCTAAATATCAAAAACTCAGTTTTGTTGTCGTTCTTTATCAATTTTTGCATAAAGTGACATGGCTCTTTCTCTGTTGGCCTAGCTGTTTTTCGTGACAGTTTGCTATCAGTGAGGCTAAGAAGACATATTTCAGTCTTCATGAGAACTAAGTCTGTACCATGGTGAAAGATCTGTTTGCCTATCTACAATAATGTTCCCAATATGCTAGGTAAACAAGCTTTGCATGTGTGTCAAAAGTATAAAAAACTGATATAAAACATAAAAGCTTACAAAAATCGAATATAGATTTGACTGTCCTAGCACAATAGCAAATAACCTGTGACTGTGCACACATGATATTGAGTAATAAACACAACCCTTATTTAGCTCTTTCCTCAGGGTGAGGCTGACTACCTCATCTTTTTGGGCCATCTGATCCCTAAAGAAGGACACTTCAAGCAGGAATGCCATATATTATGCAAAACTAACAATGTACATTAAACAACCAGTATATATATATTAAAATGAAATTTATTTTGGGCATTTGCGATGCTATTTGTTCTGAGTTTATTTATCCTCACAGAAATAACTGCTGCTTTTGATAGTTTTTGAGTAATTTTCACGAAACAAGCTAGGTTGTCACAGTCCTGTTAATATGAAATTTTTCCATCTGCTGGTAATCAAACTTTTTACTTGGGATGGTGTGCAATCCATGAAATAGAGATGTTAGAATTTTTTTTAAGACCTCATAGCCTTTCAAATGTAATATATGTATTAGAAGGTGTGTTTCACTCTTTGATAAAGTGTATGAGGTTTTCATAAAACTAAAATATAAAAATATAAAATATAAAAAACTGAACTGAACTAAACTATGTTCAAATATATAAAAAACTTTAAAATGTTTGCTAGATTTTTGTCTGAAAATCTCAGTTTTTAGCCCCTCCTATGAAAATTTTTATCCACACCAATGCCTATCAGGCATTCAATTGGGAAACTAGTTATAATTTGCCTGTTTGATTATGAGCAAACAGCAGCTTCTGTTGACAATTTTAGTTGACTATATTATGATATATTGATACTAGTTACACCTAGATGGAAGTTTTCCAGCTATTACTTTAAATAATGTCATGTTTGAAAAGTATATAAGCACACCTAGTTCTAATGAAATCAATAATTAAAAGCCATCAGAACAGAAAAAGCTTTTTACTGATCTTTCATTAAAGAGCTTTGCTCAATTGCTGCATCAAAAAGTCGAATAACATGGCTGGAAATAGCAGACTAAAAGACATTATGAAATATGCAGAGAGGAATGTTTTTTTATCCATAAGTTTAGGGATTTATTCTTTCTGCATTTTAATGTAGACATAATGTCTTACCAAGTTTTAAAGTAATCTGTCTTGAAAATTTATTTCAGATCCTTAGGGTTATACGCCACCCATATATATTGAAGTTCATTGGTGTCAGTGTGAGTGACAAACACATAAAGCTTCTAACTGAAGAAATTACGCCACTTGGACATTGTGTCCATAACCTGGAGTCATTTGAGGTCGTTGCTGGCCTTCATAATATTCTAGAGGCTGTTCAGTTTCTCCATGAGAAGGTTTGAATTATTTGTTATTTTTATACCAACCTATTTATTTCATTAATCTACCACTAAAGGTTAAGCCCCGGCCAAATGACTCAATTTTTCACCCGATTTTTTCCTCAACAAGAAATCGATTGAAAAATCAAGTCATTTGTCGAGCGAGTCAAATAGCGTCGAGTGATGTCGAGTGAAGTTTGATCTTTATCAGAAAAGTCAAATGAAAAGGGTATCGTCGAATGAAAATTGAATCGTTTGGCCACCTTGTCAAGTGAGTCGAGTGAGCGTGTGCGCAGTTATCATCTCTTATGCTTAGTTATTTTTAAAAGTGTTGATATATTGGAGAGCTGGACAGCCAAAAGGGTGCAAGGAAGCATACTAACCTGGGCCTCCTGGCAACCTGTAGCTCCCCTCCAGCATTTGAGGAGAGCCTGGAAGGAAACAAGAGCCATGGCACTCCTCAAATGGCCAGGCCTGATTGTTCGAGCAAAACCTATACAGATTCCTTGCTTTGAAACATGTTGATTGAAAAGGGTTTTTGATTACACAAAGATTCAATATCTACAATGTTCTTTGTGTTTTGCCCAAGCCTCACATTTGGGAGAGGGGGAAGCAATAAAAAGGACAATAAAACAATAGAACTAATAAGGTAGAACAACAGATCTCATGCATCTAGGAAATATATATTTTATAAGTATGATTTAGCATACCTTTGTTGCCTGTGGTCACACTAGAAATGAAGACACTAAAAGATCCAAATTACAGTTCTGTCGCATAATGTCTCAGCTTATTATCCTTCTGTGGGTAGAGTTCCCTGCAAGAGGCTTGCCAGAGGCAACATGACCCTTCTGTTAAAGCCGGAAAATATGACTGTTGTTTCTTACAACTGGAGTCAAGTGCCTTCAGTGATATTTGTAATATAATTGTATTCTGCAGTATAAGGGAATGGATCTTATGATTTTAGCAAATCTTCAAAGCTCTGTTGATATTTTCTACTTTCACTGAATTACCTTCTATTTACTGTATTATTTTTTATTGTGGAATTGCATATTTGAATTTCCTTGTCCCTGGAATGAAACAAGTAGAATGATGCATGCTCACATTTATTGTCTTCTGAGTATTGTAAATTGTAGTAATGTGCTCCTTAGAAATTTACATCATAGCTCTTACCTCCAGAAAAGGTCTGAATAGACATGAAAAAACGATTTTTAACATGGAGTAGAGTTTTTCAATTTTCCTTGATTTTTAGGTTTCTGATATTGTCTTTCATTTAATTTTAGGGTGGTCTTGTACATAAAAATCTAAATTGGTCCTCTGTTTTTGTCAGCAAACTGGATGGCATATGGAAATTAGGTGGTATGGAAAAGGTAAAATGTTATTGAAGTTTGAAAAGAGTGGATCAAGCTATGAAAGTTCTCATCTCTGTCCTGGCCTGTGATTTATTTCAAAGTGGTTAATTCATGTGTCCCCTAAAGCTGTATGATTCATTTTCCGTTCCTTATGAAATCACTGTAATTTGGTATCTTTACAAAACTAAATGATTTTGCAAAATAAGGGGTTCTTATATAGTGCTCTTTAAAGTTACTGTTGTTTTGTCTATATGTTTGGAAGTTCTTGTAAAAACTTTTGCTGTTTAAATTTGTCAGTGCTGGCCTGATGGCAGTTAACTTGTTGTAAGATGTTTGCAGGACCATAATCTCTTTGCCCATGAAGAAAATCTTGTTAGGCAGGATTGGCTAAGGCTTAGCACACATCCCATTTAATGATTTGATTTAAGATGTTGTAACACTGAAAATTCTATCACTTTAGGTAAACATTCTTTCATAACTCTATCATAATTAATATTAAGACAGCAGGTAAACCTAAAGGTTCATTCTAAATTGTGAAGAAAAAATACATTATAAATTTATAACTGTGAATTCAGAAAATATCACAGATAAGATACATTTATCTATGTTTCAAGTTTTATAATGATGAAAGTCATCTCTTTGTTTGTAGGTGGAAAAATATTCTTTACGAGGAGCACAAGGAGATGTTGTTGGTTTTGCAAAATTAGCACTTTCTATTTTGGATTGCCAGGATTTTGTCTGTATGAAATATTTAGTTTAAATCTTTCATTTCAACTAAACAATTTGTTTTATGCTCTAATGTTTGAGCCTAGGCAAGAAAGTTAAAATCTCAAATAAGATATGCTTTTAATTTGGTGAGTTGTGTCTTAAATTGCTGTAGTACTAAGAAAATGGTTTTTCAACCATGTCATGCTTATTTGCTAGTGTAATGACAAGAGTAAGGGTGCAGCCAAATGAACCTTTCATTTGCAATTTGATTTTTTCTGCAATTTTCTAATATAATACACTGATTCTAACAGAAAGCTTAGGTTAAAAAAGGTCAAATTTGCTCCGATTCTGTTGTCCGTTTCAGTAAATGGGCAGTATTTTGTTTAAAGTGTTGTTGCAAAATGTAATTCAAATTTTTAGATAATGTACATTTTTTAATTTTGGGCCAAGCTGAGAAAATCTTCCAAAACATTTACATCTGCTAAACCAGTTTGTATCACAAATTGAATTAGAAACTGTTCACAATAAACCACCATCCACAATTTTTTACAGCAAATGAGGAGAGAGTCTTCATAAGAAAATTGGAAAATGAATTTTGTTCTGAGGACAAGGTATGGTAAATTTTTTAAGTATTGATAAATTTTAGTTGAAAATAGTTTTCCTTGCAACCAACTTTGTCTGTTTAGTTATGAAATTCAGATGAAAATTATAAGTGTATTTAACAAATTAAGATTGTCCAAATAGCCATTTTAAAATATTTTATTGTACTTTTTAAGCCAATTGTCTCCCTTTTGCAACCTTTTCAACTTTGTTCATGAAAATGCTAACTTTCCTGCTGTTAGCGAAGAATATTATTCTAATTGGTCCTGCAACCAAATAATTCTAATTGGTCCTGCAAGCATGATGAAAAAGCTCTTTGCTTTATTTCACCCACAGCTGGTACCTGAAATTTTCAACTCTGTATAGTTTTATCTATGACCATGACAAAAAACCAAAACCAGATTTTGGGATAGTTGGAGGGTCATGGTAGCCAACCTTCTGATAGAAGATGGTACCTGATGATGATGATGATAGTTATAAGGAAGATATGATATATATATGTATAATAAGGGATATTAGACATGTTAAACGTTAAACATGTGGATTGCATTCTTGTTGATATATCTGAACCAGGCCTGTCTTTAAAAACCTCTCTTCATCTTTTTTTACAATTCATGAATGTTATATTGCTTCAATATTATCCAAATGTTATGCATGCAAATGTTTTTGTTATGCAAAAGCAACATCTGTGTTTCTTTTTAGGTCAATGCTGAATCATTGAAATTGTTATTAGCTGAGTCGGTTTTTAGGTAACTTCTTCCTGAGAAATTTTTGAATCTGTGTATTTTATTTAGTTCCATATCAGAAGAAATATTGCTGGAACAAATTTTATTTTGAGCGGGGGGGGGGGGGGGGGGGATGTATGCCTTAAAGGGAAGGGGTAAGAAAACTCTCAATTTTCGGATGAATGCATAGATCGGAGAAAATTTCTACCAATTGCCTGGTGGTTTAGCTGCTAGCTAACGATTTTGCCAACCAACTTTCAAAAACTGTAGGGAGACTGGCATTTCTTAAACAACCGTAATATACCCCATTATCAACAGAATTTATTTGTCAACACAAATGTTATGCAGACCATATTGCTGGTTGAGGAACTTGGGAAGTTCCATATTCATGTGGTACTTGAAAAGTTCTCATTAAAGATGCAAATGAAAGTAAAACCTATCCGATGAAAATTGTAAGTAATCAAAAATAGAAATCATTTAACACAATCAAAGATGGTAATGGTGTAATTTTTGGCACATTTTGCTTATAAGATATATAAGATCAGATGCATACTCGTATCCTAAATCCCAGGCATATATCATATTATAAAAGACATGCAAGACTCGTTTGAAAGGTGTCTAAATATGGATAATATTTCCTGTCAACTTTTGTAGAATGACCTGACTTGATGTGTTTGTTTGCTGATTTGTTTTGTTATTCATATGTGAAAAATCTGTCAAACATGGCGCGAAATATTCATCCACTCTCTCATATATTGATCTCAGGCCCGTCGCTATAGAGGGCGTCTGGGGTATGACACCAGTGGCGGATTTAAAGGGGGGAACTAGGGGCAGTTGCCCCTTCCTCAACGAGTTGAAGAAAGTCTGGCGCCCCTTTTTGGAAATTGTGTGCCCCTTTTGAAGAATGGAAATCAAGTGAAAAAGTTTTTAAGACCGATAGGCTGATTTGCTTCAAGGGTTACCTCAAAGTTATGTTGTTTATTCCAAAAATGGATCTGAAATTGTTGTATACAGCGTACGCTAGGAAATATATAGCGTAGAGTAGCGTAGAGTTTTCGATCTATGTTCTGACGTTTTAAATTCTGAAGAGTGTCAGACGAAAAGCTTTAGTTTACTAAATGTTTGCTTTTTTCAAAGCCATTTACAAGTTTTGTACCACCAAAAGATTGTTTGAATATCCAGTAAGTTAAAAAACCACTTCCAGTACTTGATACCTGGAAAACTCTTAACCTGTAAGAATTCGGAACTTTGTTATATTTTTTATTACTAATGTCACTGTTTTTTATTAAATGACCTCTTTTGATGCCATGCATTCTTGACTTGAGTCACACGTAGTCAATAATCTTCTGTTTTAGGAACAGTTACTTAGAAATAACGAATTTTCTGAATTCTGTCACCATGAAAACAGACATGGAGAAAAAAGATTTTTTCAGGTGAATAATTTGCGCTCTTTTGATAGATTTAATCTTTCTTATTGTAATGATTAATGTATTTCAGTTAATAGACATGTATCTATGGGTGTGAAAACTACATATCTTGACTCAGTACATATTTCAAGATATTTGTGTTGAAAAATTCTCCTGCTGAGAGGTTTCATTATTGAGTCTGTCATTAACAACCCAATTTTAATGGTACGTTAGACATAAAGTTTCTTCAAAAATAAGACCTAAAAATGATTCTTCTGGCACCCTTCTTCTGATCAGGCAGTACCTTTGATCCGATAGATACGAGGCAAAAATCGCAGTATAATACCATGTGATCATATGATGCGAATCTTATTCTCAGCAACGAGTCATGTATTGGCAGAACAACAAAACTTGGCAGACCAACTAAATGGATTATAAACTTTCTTTGTATGGCAAAACCTAGCTCTGATTACAAAAAAGTAGTTTCAACCTTTGTTGTATGTTGTATGTCTAAAGGACCCAGGGAAATGAAAAGCAACTGATGCAACTTTGGAAGTGATTTTTGTAAAATGTTTTACGCAACTGAATTATGTCATATTTAACAAGCCTGAGAATGCTAGGAGAATGTGTACAAGGTGCTGGGTCTGCATTTACTCTGAGGAATTTTTGCTACTAGTGTCAGGCTTGCAAACACTTCTCTTCGTAGTTTATTGACTTTGCGATTCATTTTGCAAAAGACATAAAAAAGATCCATCTTACACCCAACTTTAAATATGTTACTCATTCGATAGTGTGTTGATGCTCGACTCAACATATTCTTATTGAAGTGACGTATTACTGACCTGTGTGCTGTTTGGTTACCACAAAAAAAGTTTTGGACGTGGCCTGAAATATATCTTTTTAAATTTGTAAAATTTACAATTCAGGACCATTTTGCCTTTTAATTTCCATTCTAATTTCTGTATTTTATAAGATGTTTATCCAAAACTCTTTCAGTCTGAAATCCTTGCATTTACGTCCGATTTTTGTTTTGGCACTAGAGCAACTCGTACAGAAAATAGTTGCTCGGCCACATGGTGTTTCAAAATGAGGTTCGCTTTGGGAAAATCCTTTCTTTCGCGGAATGTGTCAGTGAATTTCTTCTAAAAATCATTATGATTACAGTTTTTTTATTTGAAGAAGTGGCATTTTTTTTAGAGATGGGAAATATTCTGCTAGATACAATGCAACAAATATCTGTTTATGTTTTAGCTGCTGTAAAAGTCTGAAGCTAAAACGCGTTGGTAAAAATTGCTGGTTTCTATAATAGTACAGAAAAGCGATAAAATGGCAAACTAAATATTTTCTTCTGAAACGTCAGATTATAGAATATCGGTAAGAGCGAAACGTTTAGTGGCAGTTCGGACTTGTATCAAAGTTCGACTAGTCCTACCCCTTGAATTATTATCCATCGCACGGTTTAAAATTATATTCTAGTATTGCTGCCAATCCATACATATAAATCCATACAATTTTACAAGAACGTAATTCCAGTGGACACGGACAATGATTGGGGCTGGGTTTGGTGTATAAAGTAAAATCTTGGCTTTTTTGTTACTACTGACTACCAAAATATGATTTTACCGAATAGAAGCAAAATTTAAAGGGGGACACAGAAATATTGAGGGGGAGTCACACCCCCTACACCACCCTCCGGTAAATCTGGAGGTGGCAATGAGCTCCCTTTGAATTTTAGTCAAAACTCTCCGCTATACTCTTTTGGATCTCCTCGTCTGGAAAATTCTTTTGAGTTGCTGTTTTTAAAAAAAGTGGCTTTATAGCGATTTATAGCTTGTCTGGGTGTTTCAAAATTAAAAAAATAGATCTTTATTGTATTGTCTTGGGTATAAGCCACCCTTGAGTAGAAGCTGTATACTTATTTAAGATATACGATGGTAACAAAAGTTATAAAGAAATTACCTCTTTCAAATTCCCCATTGCTTTTTCCCAAGGGGAAGCCCCAGTGCTTAATTCCGCGCAGCTTCTCATCCCTGCTTGTCATCGCCGGCCAACGGAGTTGCTGAATGTTTGAAATCTACATACATGTTGTTGTGAAATTCTCTTTTGAAACATCGAGTCGTTATCTGTTTATTTTAATTTGATATCCATCGGGACTAGTATTTTGCCCCTTCATTTGTTTCTACGTCTATATAGATTGTAGTTACCAGCATGGTGTGTAGAACACTGCTGACAAAATGCTGACATGAATTCCACTGTTCTTTAGTTTGATTGGTTAAGACCAGGCTTTTTTTATGTTGATTGGTTTAGACAGAGTAACGCCCCCCTCCCTCACAAAGTATGCTTCTTTTACGGACACACTTTATTGAAATAGGGTTCCACGATTGCGCTATATATAAAACATGATTTTTATCTGTTGCAGTGGGCTTGCCGATAAATTGCGGAATTTAAACCCAGAGACAGTGGCAAAGAAACTTTTGCCGAAATTAATGTCGAAAATGATGCTAGCAGAGCCTAACGCAGAGAAACTTTTTATCCCACATCTTCTGACATTCAAAGCAAAAGGTTGGCTAAATATTTTTATATATATTTAAATGTTTACCTGTTTTTTTAATAAACACAGTTAACCTACCTTTGGCTAAGTGAAGATACAAATTTTATCTGATCTTCTTTATGCGTTCTACTTCTAAGCATTCTATTGGATGGTCTTTTTCCAACATCTTTAGATGAACGCGATATAGTGAAAAACTTGTATGCGTCTATTGATAAGTTTAAAAGTTGGCCAATTGACGCATTCATAAAGCCATATCCGCTATATCTATTTTAAATAACCTTGTCATTAATTTTCTACAATCAGAGAAATAGAGTGAATTGAAAAGAACTAAAGCAAGTTTTTTCAACATTCTTGAAATCAATTACATTTAATTTTTAAAACTATTTCCTGGTAGATATTAGCCTGTTTCCAACTGTTGTTTGAATTCAAGTCTCTAACCAATCAGCTCTTGGGTCTATTATATCACTTTGTAAGTTCGAATTGATTCACTTCTACCTTGACTCTCCCACTCACCCTGGAAACAATTCACTTTGTAAGTTCGAATTGATTCACTTCTACCTTGACTCTCCCACTCACCCTGGAAATACTTCACTTTGTAAGTTCGAATTGATTCACTTCTACCTTGACTCTCCCACTCACCCTGAAAACACTTCACTTTGTAAGTTCGAATTGATTCACTTCTACCTTGACTCTCTCTTCACTTGTACCTTGAGTCTTCCACTTACTCTGGAAAAACTTCACTTTGTAAGTTCGAATTGATTCACTTCTCCCTTGACTCTCCCACTTAATCTGGAAATACTTCACTTTGTAAGTTCGAATTGATTCACTTCTACCTTGACTCTCCCACTTACTCTTGAACTACTTCACTTTGTAAGTTCGAATTGATTCACTTGTACCTTGACTCTCCCACTTACTCTGGAAATACTTTACTTTGTAAGTTCAAAATGATTCACTTGTACCTTGACTCTCCCACTTACTCTGGAAACACTTCACTTTGTAAGTTCGAATTGATTCACTTCTACCTTGACTCTCCCACTTACTCTGGAAACACTTCACTTTGTAAGTTCGATTTGATTCACGTCTACTTTGACTCTCCCACTTACTCTGGAAATACTTCACTTTGTAAGTTCGAATTGATTCACTTGTACCTTGACTCCCCCGCTTACTCTGGAAATACTTCACTTTGTAAGTTCGAATTGATTCACTTCTACCTTGAGTCTCCTACTTACTTTGGAAATACTTCACTTTGTAAGTTCGAATTGATTCACTTGTACCTTGACTCTCCCACTTACTCTGGAAATACTTCACTTTGTAAGTTTGAATTGATTCACTTGTACTTTGACTCTTCCTTCACTTGTACCTTGACTCTCCTACTTACTCTGAAAATACTTCACTTTGTAAGTACGAATTGATTCACTTCTACCTTGACTCTCCCACTTACTCTGAAAATACTTCACTTTGTAAGTTCGAATTGATTCACTTGTACGTTGACTCTCCCACTTACTCTTGAACTACTTCACTTTGTAAGTTCGAATTGATTCACTTGTACCTTGACTCTCCCACTTACTCTGGAAATACTTTACTTTGTAAGTTCAAAATGATTCACTTGTACCTTGACTCTCCCACTTACTCTGGAAACACTTCACTTTGTAAGTTCGAATTGATTCACTTCTACCTTGACTCTCCCACTTACTCTGGAAACACTTCACTTTGTAAGTTCGATTTGATTCACGTCTACTTTGACTCTCCCACTTACTCTGGAAATACTTCACTTTGTAAGTTCGAATTGATTCACTTGTACCTTGACTCCCCCGCTTACTCTGGAAATACTTCACTTTGTAAGTTCGAATTGATTCACTTCTACCTTGAGTCTCCTACTTACTTTGGAAATACTTCACTTTGTAAGTTCGAATTGATTCACTTGTACCTTGACTCTCCCACTTACTCTGGAAATACTTCACTTTGTAAGTTTGAATTGATTCACTTCTACCTTGAGTCTCCCACTTACTCTGAAAATACTTCACTTTGTAAGTTCGAATTGATTCACTTCTACCTTGACTCTCCCACTTACTCTGGAAACAATTCACTTTGTAAGTTCGAATTGATTCACTTGTACCTTGACTCTCCCACTTACTCTGGAAATACTTCACTTTGCAAGTTCGAATTGATTCACTTCTACCTTGACTCTCCCAATCACCTGGAAACACTTCACTTTGTAAGTTCGAATTGATTCACTTCTACCTTGACTCTCCCACTTACTCTGGAAATACTTCACTTTGCAAGTTCGAATTGATTCACTTCTACCTTGACTCTCCCACTCACCCTGGAAACACTTCACTTTGTAAGTTCGAATTGATTCACTTCTACCTTGACTCTCCCACTTACTCTGGAAACACTTCACTTTGTAAGTTCGAATTGATTCACTTCTACCTTGACTCTCCCACTCACCCTGGAAACACTTCACTTTGTAAGTTCGAATTGATTCACTTCTACCTTGACTCTCCCACTCACCCTGGAAACACTTCACTTTGCAAGTTCGAATTGATTCACTTCTACCTTGACTCTCCCACTCACCCTGGAAACAATTCACTTTGTAAGTTCGAATTGATTCACTTGTACCTTGACTCTCCCACTTACTCTGGAAACACCTCATTTTGTAAATTTGAATTGATTCACTTCTACCTTGACTCTCCCACTTACTCTGGAAACACCTCATTTTGTAAGTTCGAATTGATTCACTTCTACCTTGACTCTCCCAATCACCTGGAAACAATGTTGGTGGACGAGCGAACCCTTATCTATTCAACGATTATGGTGTTTTAAACAAAAGTGAAAGTTGCACCTGTCATCAGACTGTAATATAATTTGTGCACTTTTATTTGTGCGAAAATTTGTTAAACAAGAATTGACAATTTTAATGTAATCTTCGTTATTAATGTGTTTCTAAAAAATTGAAACTGATTTCTTGGGTTTCTTTCTTAACATGATTCAAATCTACCTTCCCTCTGTTTACTCGCAAGCCATTCATGTAAAATTTTAAACGTTAATTTTTGAAATGTTAATTTTACACTCGAAGATGTTGGGAGTATTGAGGGAAACTTGTTTTTCTTTTTCAGATTCTGCGAACCGTAATTTCGCACCAATTTTCCCTGAGACTATCTTTAAGTAAGTAAAGTAAAGTTGTATAATTTCAAAGAAACGAACATAACTTAAAATTATTTGCATGGGACGTCATCTATCTGTTTTTTATTGGTCAACTTCAAAAGGATGTTTTTTACTAGTGTTTCACGTTAGGCCTGTTTTCTTCACCAAGTCTCCATGTGAATGTTTATTAAAAGCAAGTTGCGTAACACATGAAAAGGTCATCGATGTCGTAAACAAACCAAAAAACTTGGCCGCTACGATAGCTTTTTGGAAAAAAATTTTACCATGAATGATTAAATAGTAGTTTCAAAATTTTCAACAGCGAAAAGTTTTATTTATTGATGACAAAATAGTGTTTTTTGTCACTGAATTCGTGGTTTTTCATATTGATAGATCAACTCAGTATTGACTGCTTTGCTTAATAAGTCTGTTAATGTTTCATTACGTTATTATTTTAATTAATAGTTGGTTGGATAAAAAAACTTTTTTATAACCTGGATAAGAAGTTTATAAGTGAGGTTTATAAGAAGTTTGTAAGTGAAGTTTATAAGAAGTTTATAATTCAAATAATCTGGTTTTTACTGCAGACATTCGATATTTTTATAACATTCGATAGATTGTCAAAGAGTATCGATTCTGACTTTAATAGATCCCCTTAGTGTGCTAGAAAGAGTGCTTAAGATTATTTTTCCCAATCAGGAAGTACTGTATTCCGCTGGTGTTAAAATTGTTTCGTTCGAAGCAAACACATGTGCGACTTGTTCTTCTGAAATACTTGTCATTGTTTGTGGAGGGAGTAGAGAAAGATGATCTTGAGTCAGAGATTCTTCCATTGGTATGTTATGTTCCCTTTTAAATTTATTTTTTGTCACAGATTGTCTACTATAGTGCTTTGAGAGGTAGCTGCCATTCGTCTTAAAACATTTTTATTTTTTAAGACATTAATCTGTGTGTAACTGTGTGTCAACTTTTATATTTTGTTTTTAATGTAAATCCGCCTTTGTATTTTGCCCCATCTTTCATTCTTTGTCATTGACAAGTAGAAAAATAAAGAGGCAATAACTCGGAAAGGAATTTTTTATCCAGCTGGACAGCCACGGGTCCTTGTGTTTCCAGACCATTTAAACATCAGTTTTATGCCTGCTACAAATAATCAAGTTTGTGTGACCAATTCTATTATCGGTTGCTTCTGACGCTAGAAATTCACGAGCAGAAATGTTTGCAAAAGTTAAGCGCTAAATGCACTGAATGGTTTTGCTTGTCTTGCTTTTTTCGCATTTTGCCAGCAGCGAATGAAATCTTTTGCATTTAATGTTTGCGCCAAGGATGCTAGCTCCAGAAATTCGAGTGTTATATGCAAATATTGGCAACTGCCTTGTCTTTAAGGTTTTACTTGGTTTACGGGATGAAAATGATGCAATCGTCACTGCAACATTTCATGGCCTAGCTAATCTTGTTCCCATCCTTGGCGGAGCTGTAGTTGTTGGCGCTGAAAGAGGCAAATTCTTTGTTGATCAGAGTCCAAAGGTAAGTCCCATGTAGTAATTTGTACCAAACATCGTTTCATAAGATATAACATATTTATCAGATATCTTAGGATGAGCGCCAGTATATATTGCTATTCTTGTTGGAAGCAAAGTATCAACTAGTTTTCGTAAATAAGCATTCTTTTTTTAGTTTTCGCTTGAAAGACAAAGCTCAGCAAAAGCAGCAAGACGTTCTGAACCAATTGACGATACTACGATCGCAACTGGGGTTTCGATAGCATCTTCTGAAAGACAAGAGATGATGGAAAGGAGACGAGAAGAAAGGCGAAAACAGATGGAGTTACGTAGAGAAGAAAGGGAAAGAAAGAGGAAAGAGGAGGTGGAAGCTAATTCCAAGCAATCTTGTGAAGGTGGGTTTTATTACCTTTGTTTGTTTTTTGTCGATCGCCATCCCGCAGTACAAACAAGACAAATAAATTGAAAAAGGAAGTTTTTTCTCTGAATAAACCCCTGTTCTTTGAAAACCTTTTAACAGTAAAGAGAATTTTACCAGGCAAGATGTAGATTTGTTGTGTATGAATGGCACTGATGCTTTGTTGTGCTCTGATGCTGTATGATGTTTAAAGAGGCATCAACGCAAAATTTTGACCCCCGAAAATTGCAAAAAGACTCACATAAAGTGGGACAAATGTTCTACCGACGACTGGTTTTACATGCTTTGTATCACTTACATGTTGCGAGAAACAAGCGAGAGAAACCATTACGACTGAATTTCTTGTAACCTAGTATCTTTACGGTCCGATGGTCATCAACAAAAAATCGATTGATCATGTGAAATCCGAAAATGATTGTGAAAGCTCTCGGTCGATTGGGGATTTCTCGGCACAAGGCAAGCTTCTGCCTAAGGGCAATGGCTGCTCACGTCGATTAATTTAAAAAGATTGATTTAACCAAGAAAAAATTAAATCAGTCAAAAATAAAGTTTTGAACCGCTCACAACCGACCTCTTCTAGGCCTGCTAGGTTTTAGATGTTAAACTTTCCCGTTATAAAATGAATAGAATGGTATTCAAACCTATGTGTATTCAAACCAATCTGAAAGATACTTCTTTGATGAAATAGGAAAGGTGCTGGATTTTTACATTAGCAAATATGAAAGTGTCTGTCTGATAGGTGATTTTAATTGTGAGCCCAAAGATGGTGCTATCAGTGACTTCGTTGATAACTATGATTTATCTAATCTGGTCAAGAGCCCAACCTGTTTTTGTTCTGACAATTGATCTGATCCTGACGAACAAGAAGAGAAGTTTTCAGAATACTGTAACAGTGCATACAGGGCTGTCGGACTTTCATGCCATGATAGTCACAGTACTTAAAGGTGGATATAGGAAAAAAGGGGCAAAGATCATTACATATAGAAATTACACCAATTTCCGTGCTGAGGACTTTAGGAGGGATCTTTGTGATCAGATTACGTCTGAATTGCAGGGTAACGATGATTATGGCGCTTTCGATGCTGTAGTTATAAACACATTTAATAAAAATGCTCCTCTTAAGAAAAAATTTGCGTGCAAATGATGGCCCTTTCATGACAACGGCCTTACGAAAAGCGATGATGCATCGCAAGAAACTATGCAATAGATACGTCAAGAGTAGAACTGAGGAGAATCTTAAAGCTTTTAAAAAGCAAAAAAAAGTTGTGTGAAACACCTGCACAGGACGAAATCTGATTACTATAGGAACCTCGACCTTGGAGACCTTACAGATGACCGTAAATTTTGGAAGACTGTCAAACCGGTTTTCTCAAATGAAATACAAACAAATTCAGCAGTGACTCTGTTTGAAGATGGAAAAATGATAACTGAGGACTTGAAGATTGCAGAAATTTTTAATCATTATTTCACAAATATAACAGAGAGTCTGGAAAATTCCAAAGACCAGGCACTGCTTTTGCCAACTAATGGGATAAATGATCCAGTGAAAAAGCTATCAAAAAATATGAAAATCATCCCAGCATTAAAAAGATCAAAGACTGCTGCGAACTGAATAAGTTTTAATTCAAACCAGTGACTATTAATGAAGTACTTTTACCGATTCAAAAACTGAATTCAAAAAAGGCATCTCCCCTAAATAGCATTCCAGCTAAGATCCTCAAACAGAATGCAGACATTTTTGCTGTCCTCATCCAGAAGATCTTCAATTCTAATTTATCTGAGTGCTATTTTCCAAACGAACTGAAAGTTGGTGAGGTCTCGTCCCTGTTCAAAAGTCTTGATGCCCTTATTAAGAAAAATTATAGACCTATAACGGTTGTATCGTCTGTTTCCAAAATTTACGAGAGAGTAGTGGAGGGTCAGATAAAACCTCATTCCCTTAGCTTCCTCTCTCCTCTTCTGTGTGGATTTCGGGAGGGATATGAAATTCAACATGCACTTTTACGACTAAAAGAAACCTGCAAAAATACCTTAGATAAAGGTGGAGTCGCTGGAGCACTGCTGATGGATCTTCCAAAGGCTCTTGATTGCTTGAATCACCAGCTTTCGATTGCTAAATTAAGTGCTTATGGTTTCAGTACTAGTGCATTGCGGTTGATTCATAGCTATCTCAACGAGAGGAAGCAAAGGGTAAAGATGAATGGGTCCTTCAGCACATGGAGAGAAACAACGATTGGGATACCACAGGGCTCGGTCTTGAGACCTCTTCTGTTTAACATATACCTCAATGATCTCTTCATGTTTGTGAATGTTGCTCAAATATGTAACTATGCAGGTGATACAACTATCTATGCTTGTGACAACAGTACTGATAGTATCATTGAAACATTAGAGAGTGATGCCCTTAAAATTGCAGTATGGTTTCCGAACAACTGTATGAAATTGAAGGAGGACAAATGCCATCTAATGGTCTTTGGGAATAAAAGTAATGATATTTCTTTTAATACCGGAAGTGTCAGGATAGAAGAGAGCACGGAAGAAAAGCTGCTTGGAGTGATTCTGGACAAAACATTATGCTTTAAAAAGCAATTGAGGTCCATTTGCAAAAAGGCTGGGCAAAAGCTACATGCCCTCTCGAGAATCTTTCACTTTCTTGATACTGAACAACTAAAGAGAATAATGAAGGCATTTACCTTGTCCCAGTTCAACTACTGTCCTCTTGTTTGGATGTTCTGCGATAGAACACCTAATAGTAAAGTTAATCGTATTCACGAACGGGCATTGCGGATAACTTACAAAGATATGAAAGCAGATTTTGACACAATGTTACTCAGAGGCAAAAAATATAATAGGTAGTACGGATAGTTAAGTTGGATAATTTGGAGATCATGAAGCGGAGATGATTCTCGCTGGTATCTAGAGCGTTGCACATGTCGATGAAAGAGAAGCAGGATAGACCAAAGATAATAATAATAATAATGTGTGATAGAATTATACTACTTGCTAACCCTTACTAGTGAGAGCTTGTCCAGAATAGAAAACGTTGATTCCTCTTTCATCCTTTCTGTGCCATGTTCGTTCAAAATTGGTTTGTTTTCAATTCTCAGCGAGCGTGACGACAATCACGCGCTCCTTTAAATCTTCCGATATCGGCCTCCAGACGACCCGCGTTCGCAGGCACTCGTACCCTTGTTCGCTTCAACTTTCTTCCCCTAAATAAGACCTCCTTTCTGTATTCCAAGCAACATTGAGCCATTTTGCGGTAGTATTTGCTGTTCACATAACAAATTAGAACGACGAAAAATGTTTTTTTGGCGATGCAAATTTTTTTGCGTTGATGCCTCTTTAATATTTTGTTATACACGATGAGCTAGAAGCATTAAATGTTAAATAGTCTACACCAGGACTCGTCTAAATCAAAGACCAGGAAAATCACGCTGGAATCCTTTCTTTATTATCCTTATTCAGATGATGGTCAACTGCTATCTGTTGCAAAATGTCCTTTCAGTTCCTGGATGCCGTTTCAGTATCTTGAATCGAAAAATTGTTTATGCACATGAAAAGAAATATATTTGAATATTTTTACTCGATTTTTGACAGTGCTTATTTTCTCATAGCTGATATGAAGATAGAGGGAGCTCCGAAAGAGACAGTAAAAACAAAATCTGTTTCCTTTGAAGCAGATCAAACAAAACGGCACGAAGAATCAGAGCCAGACTGGGAAGGGTTTGAGGCCTTTTCTTCAGGCAGTGCGTCAGACGAGGTATTTAGCTTTTACAGTTGGTAATTTAGGCCTTTAAAAGTAAACTCTTCTTAGGAAACTTTAAAAGAATCTCTATTTTATCAAATGCAACTAATTTGTTTTAATTGCGGATTTCTTATGTTCATACACTAATGATAAAATGTAAAGTGAACAATAATTTGATGTATTTTCAAACCTTTGATTGGTTCCTTTTTTCACTTCTCAATCTCAATTGATTATATGTCTACATTTTCAGTTACTTGTTTTTACATGGTAGAAAAAGTGCAACTGATTATTTTTAATTTTTTGACTATTTCTAAAGTTTGAGTCATTGATTAAAAATAAAAAATTGCACATCGCATTCTGGATTTAGCATTCTCATCCTATTTCAAAGGGAAAATGAAACAATTGTTGAATTTTTGTTTATTCTTCTAGTTACATTGCTGTTTTTTGCTGTTTATTTTTTGCTAAATCAGGCGATTTTCTTAGGAGCGTCGATTCGGAAAGTTGAAGCCCACATTATCTGCCGAAAATCTTCTGATGATGTCGAAAGGTTCATTGGAAATTCCGAATGAAACACCAATAGGGGAGACTCAGAATAGAGTGCCAGAACTGCACCAAATATTCACTAGTAAAGCCTTGGTGCTTGGAACTAAAAAGAAAGGAGGCCTAAAAATTGAGTCTCAATATAACAGATCGGATTCATTAAACTCCAGTGCGTCAAAAGACTCGGATAGTTTTAACCAGACAGATTTGTACAACCACGCTATTCAAATACCACCTAGAGCAAAGACTTTGGAGAGGAAATCACAGCCTCTTAAAAAGGAAGACAAAAAAGAACTAGGTGGAGAATTTGAAATTGCAGTTGTGAAAAATACAGAACCAGATTTTTTCGCAGACATGACACCAGATTTGTCACAATCGAAGACAGTTTTAATTGAAAAGAAAACTCCTGCTGTGAGTGCAAAATTTGAAGCTGCGGATTTTGATGACAAGGTATGTAGACATGTTTAACTGCCAACATAACTTGTAACACCGAGCAATTGGCGTTGTAATGTTATATTTTTCATTTATATTTTCAAATACCGTAAAAGCTCTATTAAGCCCCCTTTCTCTATTAAGCACCCTTCTCTATTAAGCCCCTCCTTATCAAGCAAAAACTTAAAATAAGCCCCCACTCTCTATCAAGGCCCCCCTCTCTAGCCTTTGTTGTCAAACAAGAAAAACATACGCATTTAGTGGGTCTCTTAATGGGTGAGATGATAATAAGATCGAGTGCATTAAATACGGCCCATGTAAAGACTTACTTGTGCGCCTAAAAAGTCAGTCGAAATTTGATTAGCAGATGTCCCGAGTTATCAATTGATCCTGGTGATTCTGATGAAGAGAAGGGCTTTGTAATTGATTAATTAGACTTTCGAAGCTGCTAGCGAATTTTTCTGAGAACATTTGTGTGACATCTTTATAACAAAAAATAGAAAAGGGCATTTTTAAAACATTTTTACTTAAGCCCCCCTCTAGGACTGAAAACATAAATAAGTCCCCCGTGGGCTTAATAGAGCGTTTTTTGGTATTGCTACTTCCAGCCCTCCCAGTCCCTCCCCTTCTTCCCGAAAATTGTTAATAGTCTGGGCACGTCCTAATAGCGTTCGTCATTTAATAGAAAACCAACATTGTTTCTAGGGGGGTAATTCTTTTTGAATGATTATATCCATAAGAAAATCTGATTTTGAAAGTATGGATTGACTACGAATTAAAAGCCCTGTTTTACACCTTTGAATGCTAGGTAGAAACAATTAGCTACAATTGCAAAAATTAGGCTACAGCTGATATGACATGAAGAGTTTAGAGAAGCCCTTTAAAGCTGCGTTGTTGTCAACCTCCTGCTAATCGCTTGCTTGTTTTCAATCTATTCATCCACGTTTGTATGATTCTTATTTTCATCTTCTCAACAGAGCCCTTCAGGATGGGATGATGATGACTGGTGAATGGTGGTCTTGTTCTTTGCGTTAGGGCTACATCCACGAGTTACTCCTCATCTCCTCACGTGCATCTCAAAAGTCTCTTTTAAGTGACAATCAAATCAAAAAGATTATTGTTCAGAATTATGAATACGCATATATTTCATTTAATTATTCCATAAAATCATTCAGAATTCTATTAAAGCTTCCAGATATGACACTCTTACTGTGAATCGTCATATTTCTGTCAAGCGTTCATTTAAGTTTATGTTACTGTTAAAGATTACAGTTGTATGTCTTAAAGACTCTACATGATTATCAGAAACTTTAGTTTCGCGGTTTCTGGAAAACGGTTTTATTAAGTCTACGTAAGCGACATCTTAATTGGCTCAAGTTCTTGGCCATATCTTCATAGTATATTTATGTCAGCCAAACCATACGCAAGGTAACTTGAAGATACAATCGCTGCCAAAAGTCTTTATTTTCAACACTGACGTCAGTTTCCAAGGTCAAAATCAATCATCCCCCTCTCCCCCACGGAACAATGCTGGTTTACTATGAAACGGGTTAGGATTTTAGGAAATATCGACATTGTTTCGGGGGGAAGGGGGTGCGGAAATAGAAGTTTCCGCTAAAATAGAGTAGTTGGAGTGACGTTTTGAGGTGAAAGATTGTTCCAACTAAAAATGAAATATTTATAAGCATATAGGCTTGCTTTCTTGAAAGAATATCGCAAACCCCATGAATTCAATTTTTTTTCCAGTACCTGCACTAAACAGGCTGCACGAATAATACTTTTAAGTGTGAATGCAAAATCATCATCATCATCATTAGCCTGTCACACAACTGCTGGCGGATGGCCTCCACATCTTTCTCCACTCATCACGGTTTTGGGCACTCTGGGTCCACGTGCTGCCTGCCTTCTGCTCGATCTCATCTCTCCATCTTCTCTTTGGTTTTCCCTTTTCTCTCTTCCTGTCCCACGGAGTCCATTCTGTCGTTTTCTTAGCCCATTCGTGGTTCTTCATTCGAGCTACATGTCCTGCCCACTTGCCTTTGGCTTCAATCACTTTCTCGATGACATCCTTCACCCCTGTTCTTGATCTTAAGTCTTCGTTCTTGATCTTATCTCTCCTCGTAACACCCAGCATTGATCGTTCCATACTCCTCTGGGTGACTGCCAGTTTCTCTCTTTGGCGGTTGGTAAGTGACCATGTCTCAGCTGCATACGTCATTGATGGCAGTATGAAAGTGTTCATGATCTTCCTTTTGAGACACATGGGCATTCTTTGATCTCTCAGAAACGTGCTGTTCTGTCCGAATCTCTTCCAAGCAAATGTTACTCTCTCGTCTATGGTTCACACCCACAACATGAATGCAAAATAATTTAAACATTATTTTGAAATAAAAATTTTTCCATCAGAAATTTAATATTCCTCGGACCATTGCTTTTCTTTTTAAAAGAATACTGTCATCTCCAGAAATATGATTTTTCACCCAATAAACTGCTCTCAATCACTGCAAGAAATCATCCAAACCTTTTTAATACTAAAATACAGTAATCTAAATAATATTTAGGATTAAAAAATTTCCAAGCGAAAAGTGGAATTTTCCTAAGCCTATAGCCTTGCTTTTTAAAGGAACATCACCACCTCTACAAATTTTTTTTTCACCCAAGAGGCTGCTCTCTATCACTACCAGACATCATTCCAACCCTTTTTGTACTAAATTAAAGTAATCTAAATAAGGTATTGGATTAAAAATTTCCAAGCGAAAAGTGGAATTTTCCTAAGCCTATGGCCTTGCTTTTTCATGGAACATCAAGTCCTCTACACTTTTTAATTTTCATCCAACAAACTGCTCTCAATCACTGCCAGACATCATTCCAACCCTTTTTGAACTAAATTAAGGTAATCTAAATAAGGTATTGGATTAAAAATTTCCAAGCGAAAAGTGGAATTTTCCTAAGCCTATAGCCTTGCTTTTTTATGGAACATCAAGTCCTCTACACTTTTTCATCTTCCACCGAACAGACTGCTCGCAATCACTACCAGACATCCTTCAACCCTTTTGGTACTAAAATACAGTAATCTAAATAAGATAGTAGATTGAAAAATTTCCAAGCGAAAAGTGGAATTTTCCTAAGCCTATAGCCTTGCTTTTTTATGGAACATCAAGTCCTCTACACTTTTTCATCTTCCACCGAACAGACTGCTCTCAATCACTACCAGACATCCTTCAACCCTTTGGTACTAAAATACAGTAATCTAAATAAGATAGTAGATTGAAAAATTTCCAAGCGAAAAGTGGAATTTTCCTAAGCCTATAGCCTTGTTTTTTTATGGAACATCAAGTCCTCTACAATTTTCTGATTTTCACCGAACAAACTGCTCTCAATCACTGCCAGACATCATTCCAACCCTTTTTGAACTAAATTAAGGTAATCTAAATAAGGTATTGGATTAAAAATTTCCAAGCGAAAAGTGGAATTTTCCTAAGCCTATAGCCTTGCTTTTTCATGGAACATCACCACCTCTACAATCATTTAATCTTAACCCAACAGACTGCTCTCCATCACTACCAGACATCCTTCAAACCTTTTTGGTACTAAAATACAGTAATCTAAATAAGGTATTTGATTAAAAATTTCCAAGCGAAAAGTGGAATTTTCCTAAGCCTATGGCCTTGCTTTTTCATGGAACATCAAGTCCTCTACACTTTTTAATTTTCACCCAACAGACTGCTCTCAATCACTACCAGACATCCTTCAAACCTTTTTGGTATTAAAGTACAGTAATCTTAATAAGATAGGGGATTAAAAATTTACAAGCGAAAAGTGGAATTTTCCTAAGCCTATAGCCTTGCTTTTTTATGGAACATCAAGTCCTCTACACTTTTTTTTTCACCCAAGAGACTGCTCTCATTCATTGCCAGACATCATTCCAACCCTTTTTGTACTAAATTAAAGTAATCTAAATAAGATAATGAATTAAAATTTTCCAAGCGAAAACTGGAATTTTCCTAAGCCTATAGCCTTGCTTTTTCATGGAACATCACCACCTCTACAATCGTTTAATCTTAACCCAACAGACTGCTCTCAATCACTGCCAGACATCCTTCAAACCTTTTTTGTACTAAAATAAAGTAATCTAAATAAGGTATTGGATTAAAAATTTCCAAGCGAAAAGTGGAATTTTACTAAGCCTATAGCCTTGCTTTTTAATGGAACATCAAGTCCTCTACAATTTTTTAATTTTCACCGAAAAAACTGCTGTCAGTCACTACCTTTCACTAACTAAGACTTTCCAAGCGAAAAGTGGAATTTTCCTAAGCCTATAGCCTTGCTTTTTCATGGAACATCACCACTTCTACAATCATTTAATCTTAACCCAACAGACTGTTCTCCATCACTACAAGACAACCTTCAAACCTTTTTGGTACTAAAGTACAGTAATCTAAATAAGATAGTGGATTGGAAAATTTTCAAGCGAAAAGTGGAATTTTCCTAAGCCTATAGCCTTACCTTTTAAAGGAACATCACCACCTCTACAATCATTTAATCTTAACCCAACAGACTGCTCTCAATCCTTGCCAGACATCCTCCAACCTTTTTGGTACTAAAATACAGTAATCTAAATAACATAGTGGATTGGAAAATTTCCAAGCGAAAAGTGGAATTTTCCTAAGCCTATAGCCTTGCTTTTTCATGGAACATCACCACCTCTACAATCATTTAATCTTAACCCAACAGACTGTTCTCCATCACTACCAGACATCCTTCAAACCTTTTTGGTACTAAAATACAGTAATCTAAATAAGATAGTGAACTGAAAAATTTCCAAGCGAAAACTGGAATTTTCCTAAGCCTATAGCCTTGCTTTTTCATGGAACATCACCACCTCTACAATCATTTAATCTTAACCCAACAGACTGCTCTCCATCACTACCAGACATCCTTCAAGCCGTTTTGGTACTAAAATACAGTAATCTAAATAAGATAGTGGATTGAAAAATTTCCAAGCGAAAAGTGGAATTTTCCTAAGCCTATAGCCTTGCTTTTTCAGGGAACATCACCACCTCTACAATCATTTAATCTTAACCCAACAGACTGCTCTCCATCACTACCAGACATCCTTCAAACCTTTTTGGTACTAAAATACAGTAATCTAAATAAGGCATTGGATTAAATATTTTCGAACAAAAAGTGGAATTTTCCTAACCCTATAGCCTTGCTTTTTCATGGAACATCACCACCTCTACAATCATTTAATCTTAACCCAACAGACTGCTCTCCATCACTACCAGACATCTTTCAAACCTTTTTGGTACTAATTTACAGTGATCTAAATAAGCCATTGGATTAAATATTTTCGAACAAAAAGTGGAGTCTTCCTAAGCCTATAGCCTTGCTTTTTCATGGAACATCACCACCTCTACAATCAATAAATCTTAACCCAACAGACTGCTTTCCATCACTACCAGACATCCTTCAAACCTTTTTGGTACTAAAATACAGTAATCTAAATAAGGCATTGGATTAAATATTTTCGAACAAAAAGTGGAATTTTCCTAACCCTATAGCCTTGCTTTTTCATGGAACATCACCACCTCTACAATCATTTAATCTTAACCCAACAGACTGCTCTCCATCACTACCAGACATCTTTCAAACCTTTTTGGTACTAATTTACAGTGATCTAAATAAGCCATTGGATTAAATATTTTCGAACAAAAAGTGGAGTCTTCCTAAGCCTATAGCCTTGCTTTTTCATGGAACATCACCACCTCTACAATCAATAAATCTTAACCCAACAGACTGCTTTCCATCACTACCAGACATCCTTCAAACTTTTTTGGTACTAAAATACAGTAATATAAATAAGGTTTTGGATTTAAAAATTTACAGGTGAAAAGTGGGATTTTCCTAAGACTATAGCCTTGCTTTTTCATGGAACATCACCACCTCTACAATCATTTAATCTTAACCCAACAGACTGCTCTCCATCACTACCAGACATCTTTCAAACCTTTTTGGTACTAATTTACAGTGATCTAAATAAGCCATTGGATTAAATATTTTCGAACAAAAAGTGGAGTCTTCCTAAGCCTATAGCCTTGCTTTTTCATGGAACATCACCACCTCTACAATCAATAAATCTTAACCCAACAGACTGCTTTCCATCACTACCAGACATCCTTCAAACTTTTTTGGTACTAAAATACAGTAATATAAATAAGGTTTTGGATTTAAAAATTTACAGGTGAAAAGTGGGATTTTCCT